GGGGGGTGAGGAGGGCAAAAATCAACCAGAGTATATAAGCTGTTTTCAAGAGTGAAGTTGGCTAAAACATCTATTTTCTCCCTACATCAATCTCTTAACAAGGCCTAGCTTCTTCACTTCTGGAAGAGTGGCTTGAAAAGTGCCAGAGAAAAGTGTCATCTTACATCTCAACATGTTTTTTCCATCTGCGTGAAAACCTGTCCAAAGGTAGCTGAGCTAAGAGGCCTTGAAAACACCCTCCACTTGTACCTGCTAGGTAGCTGACAGAGAGCACAGCAACTACAAACTGAAGAGTCCTTCTCTGCCGAGCAGATTTTGAGATGGAAAAAGTAATCATCGCTGCAGACAGACTGTACACAGCCCTTCTTCTCCCCACAAGCAACTCTTTTGGAAAAGCTGAATATGGTAAACAGAACAGAATGAGGAACCATCAGGCTGGGCAAGGAGGGACAGAGGATGGAGCTGAGAGACAAGAAGATAAAACCAGCAACTAAAGGGAAGGGAGACTGTAACTTAGTGAATAAGAAACTGGAACCAGGGCCCAATGCCAGGGCCTCACTCCCACCTTACCCATAAGGCTGCTATTTCAAGACATGCCCAGGACATGATCTAAGGGTACAAGAGGTTTGTGTCACAATACTTATCACTAGGATCTCCTTCTCACTGCTTAGGACTCCTGCCTCACTTCTTGCAGCAGATAAAAGATGACTTGGGGGCAGAGGGGAAGCTGAGGGGAGGGAGACCGGGGAAGGTAAACTTGGCTGAGGCTGCATGTCTGGCAGCAGCACACCTTAAACTGTTTCCAAATTTTCTTTGGGCAGTTTCCACCCTCCCAAACTCAGAACTCGTGGCTTCCATGATGCCAATGCAACTGCTTGTGCAGCCAGACAACAAACTGTATCAAAGAACTGATCTGGCTGACACAGCTTTTGCCCCACCACAGCAGCACGATTAAACGGCAAGAACTGGCACTCAGATTGGTTTTCCTGCGTAGCCACACATTTCCCTCAAGTAGCAGAACTATCTGATGATGGAAGCAAGCAAGTGATGCTAAGAGAGTGCTTACTGATACATTACCATCAAAACAGAGCGAGAGAAGAAAAATGCTGGAAACCTGACTGATTCCATTGCCTAGCGTGAAGCTGTGCAAAATGCTCAAGCCAGAATCTTCAGAGTACCTTTATTCTACTCATTTGATTGCAGTCCAAACTCTGTATCTCCACTGCTGAAGAAATATCACCACTGCAATCAAAACCATCAAGAGCTCTCTGTTAAGCACATCAAGAGCTATGTACAAAGCTTCAGACACTAGGCACTCAAAATAAGCAGACTGTTTGGACTTTGGTACCTCTACAGTTTGTCCAGCCACTGGTAAAGTAATGGCAACACTCCCTTTCCCCAAACTGACTACTAGGTTTGATGTGAAATCAAATGGCCCACGTGGCCAGAAAAGCCAATGGCATCTTGGCCTGTATTAAAAACAGTGTGACCAGCAGGTCCAGGGAGGTGATTATCCCCCTGTACTTGACACTGGTAAGGCCGCACCTCGAGTACTGTGTTCAGTTCTGGGCCCCTCACTATAAGAAGGATGTTGAGATTCTGGAGCATGTTCAGAGAAGAGCCACAAGGATGGTGAGGGGTCTGGAGAACAAGCCTTATGAGGAGCGGGTAAGGGAACTGGGGTTGTTTAGCCTGGAGCAGAGAAGGCTGAGGGGAGACCTCATCACCACCTACAACTGCCTCAAGGGAGGTTGTAGAGAGGTGGGTGCTGGTCTCTTCTCCCAGGTGATGGAGGATAGAACAAGGGGAAACGGCACCAAGCTGTGCCAAGGGAGGTTCAGGTTAGAGATAAGGAAGAAGTTCTTCACTGAGAGGGTTGTCAGAAGCTGGAACAGGCTGCCCAGGGAGGTGGTGGAGTCACCATCTCTGGATGTATTTAAAAAGCGGGTAGATGAGGTACTTAAGGATATGGTTTAGTGGGTGGACAGGAATGGATGGACATGATGATCTCAGAGGTCTTTTCCAACCGAGCGATTCTGTGATTCTGTGAAATTCGTAGGTTTCTTTATAAAGCACTCCAGTAACAAAGCAAGGAGGTACCAAAAACATAAGATCCTTTTTCCTTCAGAACAGGGTTCATCTATTATGCAGCACTTCAGAGAGCGGCCACACCACCTGACAATATTGAATTGCTGCTCACATAAAGTGAGCCCCCTTCTTCCTGAGCTACTAAGCAAGCTGTGGCTTTGTGGGGAACACAGATGAGATAGTGCGATTAGAGATTTGAAAAATTCATGCCCAGGAATGAATTTAACTGTAAAGTCACCTTAGTTCTTTACATTCCTTAACTAAGTACATGGCTCTGCAACCTTAGTAAGGCCAATTGAAACCAACAAACAAACTAGTTTTGTCAGGGTATCTAACTGGCTGTGTAATGCAACACCGTAATTCACTATCAAAAAGGCATTTGTGCTGTTCTGGGGAATTACTGCTGCTATGCAAGAATCCGAACCTTAAGCTTACCAATTAGGTAAGAGCTAGATTCTTCCAAATGCTGAAGCATCTGTTCCACTGTGTACTGAAGAGAGCATAATCTTACAGTCTGATGGAGTTACAGTAGAGCTTTTTTTTTGCATTATGTTTCCTAAAGACCCAAGCAACAATGCCAAAATTTTCCACTAAAGATACAGCACTTTCTCATTTCTTTCATCCATTCCTCAGCTCTGCCTTTAGCTTAGACGAGTGGCAGCTCCAAATACAGATTCCAGCAAGCTTCACTACATGACAGTGCTCATTTTAACTTTTTTGTTCTACGGTTTGGTCATCACCACAGTGAATGGGGCATGCCAGTATCAGCTAAAATTAATACATGCAGCTTCTTAAAGCATAAGCTTATCCAGCTGGAGAATACATCTCTATTATGTATTTTTTGCATTCTACAACAAAGTCAGGGCCAGGCTTTCATACAGTATAAACAAGACCTGGGTGCAGAATTCTACCTCACATCAAGACTGGAAGTTTCTGGTTTAGGTACTCTGGAAAAATCACTGTGTACAATTAGGTTCTCCATAACATTTGCTTGGAATAGTATTTTCCCGTTTGGCAAAGGAAGTATTTTAAATGCTCCTCTTTTCAAACTATCTCCTGAAGGTACAAGTCCATGCATTAAAGTAGCAGGCTACTAGAAAAAAAAAATCTCCAACTTGTCAAAACAAAAAAAATTTGAAAGTTTGAAAATATAAAAAATTAGATCTCAGGCGCAAACTCATACTTGTTTTTCTTAGTCATTGGCAGTTTATTTCATTCTATCAGGTCTTGTGTATGAACTAGATACAGAATTGAGAAATTGAGCAAAATTAAAAGAACAATGAAAGAAGTCAAAATAGACTTCCAATTTTTTTCAGTTTGTGAAGTAACTCTGAAAAGAAGTTGTCAGAATGAAATGATATAGTTCTACCTCTATTGATTTCCAGACCACATGAAACAAGGA